CTATTCCTTGGTAAGAAGCGTCCAGACTTGCGATTTAGAATTCTTAGCCTGCCATTCTTTCTGTCTCGCTGGAGGAGGATGGTTCGCCAGAATACTTTATTTGTCGCTTAGACTCCGTCACCATACCGAACTTTTACCAAGAAATGGCTATCGTTTTGGAGACTGCTTTTATTGTAGCTTTACGCGCCTCTTCGTACCGTATTCGAGATGAAGGTTCTCTACTTCCAGGAAACCTCCTGAGCGCGGCCTCTTTCTCGATGACATGCACTTGAATCACTGGCATCCATCAGAAAGTTTCTTTATGAACTCCAGACCGTAGGACAACTAGTTTTAAAGCACAAACTTCGGCGACAGCCCTGAATAGATTGCTTTTAAAGAAATTCCATTCGGTTTCCAGTCAGCCGACGTCGCTAGGATCTGTTGAAACCGCCGAGCAATATTGTTTACAAGTTTTGCTCTCGTATCCGCAAGCTAGATGATTCCCGATTCAACTCCCTGGCTTCTTCTGCCGTCAGGCCTTTGCACGGTACTCGAATGTTTTGCAGAGGAGGGCGCGAATTAGTTGATGATCGACTGACAGCTCTGTGCCTCTCTTAACAACAACGTGAACAACTATTACAGAGCAGAGTGAGTCAGATGATACGATAATCAGCTCAATAATTGACTTCGGCGCACAGGTTTTCCTAGACCAGGTATATTGATGTACGCTTTGATGATCGAAGGTGTTCATAACAGTCAGGCCGTTGGTTGCACAAAACCGCAAAAACTTCATGCTGTTATTATTGAGGTCAATAGGGTCGTTATTTCAAATTATGCCTCTCCACTTTTCAGCGTCTGCTCTGACATGCGCATTTAAATTGCCCATTAGAATAAGGGACTCCATAGTCGGCACTTCGCACAGACAACGTTAAATTTCCTCATGGAAAGATCCATATTCTCCCTCCATATTGGGAGCACAGGCCTGAAACAAGGTCTAAGCTTTACCCTGTTGGAGCGTCAGTCAGAGGATTGTCATTCTTCCGCTGACAGGCTTCCATTCAACGATTCCATTAGCCCAGATTGAGTTCTACGAGAACATCAATAACGTCCTGAGCGCGCGTCGTGATGTCGATGCCTGAGTAGAATAGAAGGCCCCCGCAGAGGTTTAGAATCCCAGAGCCTTCACGCTTCGTTGCGGAGAGTCCAGCTATATCTAGTCGGTCCCTTGTGCCTAATCAAGCAGTTCCTACTCTTTCTCTCTGACTGAAAATATTGTAATTTCTGATTGTGAGCTCCTATAGTCGGAATAATTTCCGTGGAATCTTATCTGACGCACTATAATGGCACCACGTTGTCCGCCTCCTATGTTTAGAAGGATTAGCGAATCTGTTTCAGACTAGTACGATGATCATCTTCGTGTCTTTTTTCGGGAGCCGTTGCCCTGCTGCTACGACACCAGTTGCCAGAAGGCACTGACTTTTCGAAGCGTGTCTCAGTTTCTCAACAGCTATGCAATCCTTGGCCGGGGGACGACCGGTGCGATATTATGTTCGATAACGGCAATACAATAAGACGGAACACTGCGTTCAAAACTAACTTCGCCACTGTCTCAAACCCTGCTTTTCTCTCATCCAGGCATGGGATCTGCAACGACAGAGTTTCATTGTAGGACTGGCGTACAAGTGCAAAACTGCGTCATAATGTCGATTTTCTACAGAGGGTATGACATTAACAAAAAGTTTCAGGTAGCCAGAAGTTTCTTTTAAGGACCAAAGCAATAGTGTCGTGAAATCCGTGATGAGTTTTTCATAGAT